ACGTACGAAGGTCTCAAAGCGGACGAGATGATCGACAGTGGACCGTGCTGACCGAAAGCCACACTGGAACTTATCAAGGCAGCTGTTTCGTTCTAGAAAAAACATGAGTCTCTTGTTAATCATCCTTTCTAATGTCTTGGAAAGGCAGCTAGTTAGAGCTATTGGTCTGTAGCTAGATGCACAAGAGGGATCTTTGCCGGGCTTCAGCACTGGTACAACCACAGCGGTCTTCCAGGAGGATGGAAAGTGGCCCTCGAGCCAAACTCTATTAAAAAGGTACAAAATTAGCTCCATAGTGGATGGATGAAGATGTTCGAGCATTTTATAATGAATACCATCTGGTCCAGGGGCAGTTTGTTTGGAACAAAAAAGTGCCATTTGAAGTTCGTATAATGTAAATAGAGTATTGTAGGGTTCGTGCGTGCCACCTGATGTGATAACAGCTTTTTTCTGCATTGATCTTGTATCGCTGGAACGTTAGGGTGTAATGTTCCGAACTGGAGACATACTCGAAGTGTTCACCGAGGATGTTGGCCTGTTCCTCAAGGCTTGCAGAACAAACTCCATCCCGACTCAAGAGTGGGACAGTGAATGCCCGGTAAGAGCCGTCAATTTTATGTACGCGATCCCAGACTTCCTTCGCAGATACAGTGCTGTTAATTGAAGAAGCGTACCCTCTAAAACTTTTTTTCTCAGCTTGCCTTCTAATCCACCTCGCCTGGGACCTTTTTTTCTTAAATCCAATAAGATTGTGTGTTGTAGGGTAGCGCCTAAATATACCCCACGCTCGATTTTGTTCTTTTTTGGCCAAACGGCAATCTTTGTTCCACCAGGGCTTTGGCCTCCGGGGCAGATGCGAGGATGTCATGGGGATGGAGAGAATAGCAGCTTGTAAAATGTGCTGAGTGATATGTTGAGTGGTTTTATTGATATCGAGATCGTCAAGTGATGTGCATGCAAAAAGAGATGATTCTTTAAAGGTAGGCCAGTCAGTATTTTCGAATTTCCAACGAGGACAGCGTGTTGGGACTGTCATGGGAAGATGGTTAAATTCTAAGATGATGGGAAAGTGGTCACTTCCGTGAGGATTCGGTATGACCTCCCATGAAAGCAATGGGAATAATGATGGGTGACAAATAGATAGGTCAATGGAAGTGAAAGTGTGAGTTGCTGAGCTAAAATATGTAGATTCATTTGTGTTCAGCAGGCACAATCCCGCAGAAAGCAAAAAACGTTCAACAAGGGCCCCTCTAGAATCCCGTCTGTCACTACCCCACAGGGGATTGTGTGCATTAAAATCTCCTAAAAGTAAAAAAGGTAAGGGAAGTTGATTAACAAGGTCTTCTAGCTCCTCCATATGTAACTGATAATTGGGAGGTACATACAATGAGCAGACTGTAATTATTCGATCTAACAAAATACGTGTAGCCACCGCCTCAAGTGAAGTCTGCAGGGCTACCTCGTTAGAAGGAATTGAACGTTGGACAACCACCGCAACACCTCCAGCTGCGTGAGCTGCATGTGTACGGTCCCTACGAAACACCTGGAAGTGTTTTAAAACATTGGTGTGGGTGGTTTTTAGGTGCGTTTCCTGTAAGCAACATGCAATGGGCCGGTGATCCTCTAAAAGATTGCTCACATCATCGTAGTTAGACAGGAGGCCTCTACAGTTCCACTGAAGGAAGAAAGAGATTTATCTTCAATACAGGAAACGCCTCAATAAGTGTTTTACGCAAAAATTGTGAAATGTATTTTATGCGCCCTTTGGTGCCACAATCCGTGGGATGGTTTTCTTTTTTGCAGTGTCTTTAGGCCGTCCTCCAGCCTCGTAGGAGGCCGAGGAAACAGACCCTGTTTGAGAGAGAGGACGGTCCCCATCGGAGAGTGGGACGCTCACATCCATCTTCTCATCCAATAAGACCTTGGGTCCTTTGGGCGGTAGAGGTGAATCTGACCGCCCAGGCTTTGAAGAGCTGCCAGAGGCACGGGGAGGCAGCCCCCGACCCCGGCCAGAAGGGCCAGCTAGTGCCGATGACGACACGTCTGGCTCCTTGGAGGGTGCAGCACCCTCCTTAGAGGGCACAATACACTCATTGGAGCATGAAGGCAGTGGGTTGCCCACTGTCTTCGGACGTACGTAAAAGGACCCTTGTGGAGATGACAGGTCTTCCGGGGAAGTCTGCGTCTCCACGGATGCCATAGACAGTGGGGGTCCCCTTCGCACTGCCTTGGCATATGAACCCCTTGCCTTGAAGGCAAGCTGTTCTCTAGCGTCTTGGTAGCTGAGATTGTGTTTCACCTTAAATGTAATTATCTCCTTTTCTTCCTTCCATTTCGGACATGTGCGTGAAAATGCGGGGTGTGGTCCGCCACAGTTTATGCATTTATGGTCGTTTTCACATATGTCAGCGACGTGGTCAGTGGCACTACATTTCGCACAAGTTTCTCGGCCGCGGCAGTTTCGGGAGCCATGCCCAAAACGCTGGCAACGAAAGCACCGCTGTGGGTTTGGAACGAAAGGACGAACTCTGCAGTTTAGATACCCTGCCTTCACGGTGGAAGGCAGAGAGTGGAGTTCAAAAGTCAGGACTAGGTGTCGGGTTGGTATCTCCTGTCCGTCTCGTCGTAGCGTGATTCGCCGCACGGCCACAACAGCACTCCGACGCAGCCCTTCAAGGATTTCTTCTTCAGTACACTGAAGGAGGTCATCCTCAGAGATGACGCCGCGGACAGTATTTAAAGTCCGGTGCGGGGTTACACAAACTTGGTGTTCACCTAAGCTAGTCAACTTCAGTAATGATGTGCTTTGAGTTTTGTTTTCTACCTCAACGAGGAGGTCTCCAGCAAGTTTTTTTGCCTTGTAATTCTTTCCAATCGTCTGCTCTAGGACCTTAGAGACAAGGAAAGGTGACATCTTTGATAACGGTAGAGAGTCGTTCGCAGCATGAAGTACAAGAAATCGTGAAAAGGTGTCGGGTTCTTTGGCTTTTTCAAAAGTAGAGGGAGCGGGGCGAACCCTTTTGGGGGGTCGCTCTGCTCGGGGTTTAGAAGAGAGGGGAGCCATAAAAAAGGCAAAGGGTGTTCAGAATCTGTGGCGCGCCGCCCACCACGGAGCCCAACGAGGGAATAGGTAACACCCCATAACAAATATGGCTTTGCTGGAAGCATTACTCTATTAGCGCTACCCAGAAACTATAACCAAGTGTGGATCTGGACGAGAGTATCTGTCACCACCCAAGGTTAGCCCTTGCCGCCAAAGAAGTTGAAAAGGAAAGAAGAGAAATGAGAAGAGTGAAAAGGAGGAGGAGACAAGGGTGAAAGAAGGGAGGGGATAGTAGAAGGAGTGGCGACTAGACTGAATCATCCTGGCCGGGCCTTACCAGGACTCCCGTCTATGAGAAGCAGGGGCCGAAGTGGTGTATTGCCTCGCCCGGGGTTCCCCGAAGGGTCCAAACCTACCCCGGGCTCGGCTCAACCACCAGGATGCCCTTTTCCCCAGACACGGGAAAGCCACGCACAGCCAGACGTGGGCGGGCGAACCCGCATGGCTCGGGGTCCGTGGAGACGCCACTCTCCAAACACCTGCTTTCACAGGTGCCCCCTGCGGGGTTTTTAGAACGATAACGCAGGGGTAGCATTTTACGCGTTCTGTAAAAATGCTTTATTTGGATCCGTTTCAATGTTTCGCTTTTTTATCGGAGTGCATCTCTGCGCCCACGGTCCTGTTCCCCAGGAGTTTAGCTGCGCAACACACGTGCGCCTTGCTTCCCGCCATCCTACGAGGGAGGCGAGGGGGTGGCTTTGCACTGCGGCCACCGGGCAGCAGGATCAGAGGTGCAAAGATGCGCTCTGGTAAGAAACCGAAGTCTGGAAACGCGTCCAAATTGACTACTTTTTTTAGAACGCCGTAAAATGCTGCTCTTGTCTTATATCTTTACAAAAAAAGTTGATTTTGTGTGTTTTGATGATACTTAGCAAGTTTCTAATTGAAACCATGGATCTATTTTCACATATTGAAATTTTAAGAAGCATATTATATTTAAAGGGAAGCTGAAGCGGTTTTTCATTTGAGGAAACACATTAAAATATTCCTTTTGACCTCCAGGATATCAAATATCAAAATTATTTCTCAATTTGGTTAATCGAGGCTGCATAGAACCATTTTTAAAGGACTGCTGGAGGCACTTCCCTGGAGAGCGACGTCACAAAAGCAGCTTTCGAAATCTTTGCTCACGCATCTTGAGCGCCTATCAAAGCTATTGCACGCACATGCTATTTTTTAAAAGGGCAGAAAAATATGTCACGACTGGTGCCAGTGCGGGAGAATATACCTAGAAAACTTGCGATTAAACGCGCGGCCCTTAAGCGACACACGCTTGGCGGCCGAAAGGTCTTCTTACGATGTCACTATTGGTAGGATGTTTTTTTGTGTTTTCTCATGTTTAGTTATATCTTTGTGGAAAACGAACGGGATATTCAGATTCGCGGGATAAAACTACGCTAGAATGAACCTCCATCCAGTTTTCTGAAAGAAGTCTGGCACTTCTCTGCAATAAGCCGACTGATCATTACGACTTAGTCTTTTATACTATGCCGCCCTGGCCACATAACTCACGTGCACAGACCACGTAAATCTAGCTTTTACGGCTTTTTTTAAAAAAATATTTGTAAAACATACAAAAAAACACCCTGTAGAATGTCCCCCGATACGATACGATTGTATGGTTCCTTCCCCGCTTGTATCGTTCAAGAAGGACTTGCGGACATCCAGCCTTTCATCGGAATGCTGGATGTCAGCGAGTCTCTACACCAGTGAGCGGTTTTAAACAAGCATGATGTTTGCACACCAGTACGCTCTTATCCGAGGCCCTCCAGGAGCACTAAAAGCCGAGGCGAAATGTAGTGACGTGGTAAATTTGGTTGCAGGTATTTATTTTTAGAAGAATCGCGTGCAGCAAAGCTTAACTTTGCTCAAAAGAAGATAATTATAAATTCAATACTGAAAAACGGTGTCCCTTGAGCAGTCAGACCGAACTCCCACTCTTGCCACTCAGGAGTTCCTAACTTGTGCGTACAGGATCAGCACAACCCAGATTTGTGCTGCGAGCGCACCTGCAATATAAAAGTTCAATAAACATGAGATGAAAAATGAGACGTTTACAATTTTCTGTAATGTGAAATTAGAGCACAGATCTTGAAAAGGAGGATGGGAGGGTATGACCCTCCTCGCCATCTCCTCCTCCTCTTCTGCTCCCTCCCATTTAGCGGGAAAATTTCCCCACTAAATTTAGCGGGTTAAGTTTCCCACTAAATTTAGCGCGGAAATTGATGTCACGTGACCTCAACACCAATGCAGTTTTCCCGCTAAAAGTAGCGGGGAAAATGACGTCGCATGACCGTGTCACGTATCCCTAAAAAATTCAGTTTCTCAGCTAGACTTAGCGGAAATATTAACGTCACATGACCTCAACATTAATTCAATTTCCTGCCATGTTTAGTGGGGCGGTTACGCCGACAGCGACGCCGCGAAATGCGGAAACAGGTGCCCAAGAGCTGCTCTCAAAAAACTAAATGCCTCAGGTGAAATAAAGTGAAAATTAGAGATAAGACAAAGAAAAGAGAATCTAAGATGCCGTTCTCAGATCCTTCCTTTTGTCCGTTCTCAAATGTTTTGATTTCAAGAAATGTTTATCTCTTTATTCATACCCAGGGAACCCCTCCCAGTTTCAGCATGAATGCAATAAATCAATGCAGACTAGACCTTGTGAACTATAATGCACATTAAAATGAATGTTTGCCAGATAGTCCTGTATGAGTCGGTGGCTCAGATCTCTAAACACATTTGTAGTGAGGAACATTCTTGAATAAAACTTCTAGCCTTTGAATTCAACAGTTTGAACTTCCATAAGGAACACTGTATGGCCGATTTTTTTTTTTTTTTTGTGACACATCAGAAACGGTACAGCATTCTCATCCTTGCATACCTAACAAGAATTTGCATTTTTTTAGCATGGCATGTGCTATTCTCATACCCATACAACCCCCTTTAAAAAAATTCCTTTGTAGAGCTTTTTATTGGTTCCTACTTAACTCGCACGACAGATTCGGTACCTTGAATTCTCACTCGGCATCAACAGTTTTATATATTGATGTAACAGCCAAAGACAAGATGTATGAGCTTGAGTACGGCTGAACAAGCACAGATGTTTGAAAAAAGTACTGTCGAAAACTCAAATGTCAAAATAAAAATTAGGTAGAATGTGGGTACAATTATGGATATGGTCATGAATACAGTTAGCAGATTCAATATGTAGAATATGTGTTAGATGCACGCTCAAAGAAACCTGTTGCATCTATATTCATTCAAATTACTTCGCCGAACCCAGCGCTGCAGTCTCAGGTGGGAGTTCGCTGAATGAGTCTACCGAAAATGAGTGTAGACGGAAAAAGCAGTTTGATCTGCGACAATGAGCATTACATAAGTGACATGTCATTATTACTGTTACAGTGCCGAATGTTTCAAACTGTCGGTCGCATCATTCTGTGAGTTCCCTCCGTACATTACAGGGTTTGGCTCTCTCGAATGCTTTGCGAGAAAAATGATGAACTGGAAATATCTAGAGTAGTTCTAGAAAACCTATTTCCAGAATCTTATCTCAGCATCGTAAAGAATATGAAAAGTTTCTAAAGACAAGGTTAATGCAGGAGTTGAATAAACTAAATAATTTGTTTTGCGAAACCATCTTGCCGTAGTAAACGTATGAAGTTCCCCTAGGTAGAGCTAGTCATTACGGACGATTGTGCCCATTGCGTACCATAAAAATTTAATTTGCGACCTACAATATTTACAGACTCAACCAACGCTGAATAAGTGGACCACTTGGCATTAAAGATTGGCCTCACCATGACTGTCTGCCAACATCTACATAATAATTTCCATGAACCTATGTATTTCACGAAAATATTTGGTGCGAGCTGCTTAAAACACAATAGCACTTTTTAACAAGTGCTGATTGTTGGGCAAGTTGGCATGGTACGTTAGAAAACATGATTGCGCTTTGAAGATGGGGACATAGGAGGGACAGACACCACAGAGTGCTCACTTTCAACTGATTTAATTCAAGAACCTCAGCGTAGAAACACACTGTGTCACCGCACCACATCTCAATCAATCCGTGGCCCGCCACGGACCGCAAGTACGCCAACTCCTTCCCCGCTAAGTCAATTGACGCCACACTGACACAACACGTGCCGGAACTATTTATAGCGTCAGCCTCCATAATCTCTCTAACAGTCATATCTTTGTGCCTAACAAGAACAGTAGACGAAGCAAATAATGGTTTGTACCCGCAGTCATGATCTGTCGTGTCACTGTCATGACTGCGGGCGCAAACCATTATTTGAACATGAGGGTAGAGTGTACCAGCAGAGGGCAGGTGTCTGGATAGAAAGAGTTTAGTTGGCACACCAAGAGGCTAACGAATAAAAATGGGTACTACTCTGAGCAAAGTGCCAAAAAAGCGTGGATCTCGGCTTGACACTAACAGCGGCACACAGTATCTATTTTACTGACAAAGGGGTACTAAATCCTTATATTCAGCGACCTAATCAAACTAAATATTGTTCCCGGCTTGCTTTTCAGGAAAATCTCTAAATTTACAAGAACTATTAAGACAACGGCGAAAAAGAAAGCAACGGCAAAACCAATAATCGAATTCGCCTGCTCTCCAGTAGCACGACATCTATGGCAGACAGACCTGCAGAATGAGCAAGCAGCTTAAAAAACAGAGTATGTCCTATGTATAATTTTTTTTGATGCTGCAAAGCAAGCGCTGGAAGAAGGTTTCACGACATTAACGAAATTTCTTGCAATCAGTTGAGAACAAATTAGAGCAGTGAACTTGTCCTTGCCCCTGGCATAACGTTTTAGTGTTGCCCATAGAAACTCACATAAATTTGTAAATAAAAACAAAAAAGACTAACCACCATATAAAATCTGTAACTTTGGCAAAGAAAAGTTACCTTGAACAAAATATGTACCATACAGTTGTACAGCGTCCATTTGTGTGCTTAACCAATTTTGAGGCAAATCGGCAACAATGAAAAGAAGACGTTTGAGTACAATTAAGGGAAAGACAGAAAGGATGCATACCCACAACAAAAAAATTTAGAACGACCACGGGCAGGAAACACTGGTGAGGCTCTCGGAGCGACTCCCTGCAATGGGCCTGCGCAGACCACAGGACAAGATCGGTCAGAGCTTGCAGCCATAAGGTGCTTCATACCATGAAGTTACAGAAGCGGGTGCAATTGGAAGCAAAGCGCATTTCATTTCTCTGCAGAACGAAGAGTTTAATAGCTAGTATGCATTCATAAGGTAATACAGTCATGAATGCACAGACTTTTCAATGCAGCGCTATATCACCAACTTGTTAACCATGCCGGGCAACACTAAAAACCGAGAGCATTATTTTAAACTATCTCAGCTTGAAGTTAACCACGACAGAAGCTTCAAGCCATCCTTGCAAATTCGGCGCACAAAGCAAGCCATGTGACCTTCTAGTTGGATGCCATGGTACGTCCAGCTTATAATCATGTGTCACACCGTTTTTGCTGCAATGGCTTAAAGTGTCAAAAGTGGTCCAGCTTAAAGAGATGCAATGTATAGACGTTTGTGAGTGGGGCCCTCACCTACCTAGTCTGCAGCTACATTGCGAAATAGGACGTTCCAACCGGGATTTTTGCTGCCTGTAACAACACGACCAGCTTGTGCCCAGCAATTGTTCGAGCTAAGTACATGTCCTCGACAGTGCCATTATTTGACAAGCATTTTTATGAATGTTAAACATGACTGACTTACAGAGAGACTCCACCTCAACGACTAATGACTTGGGATACCTAACTGAATACTGATATATCAACTAAATGCAAAACAATTACCTGGCAAGCATTAAATTTTTCAAGAGGCTGGGTCGACTCCGCATTGAGTTGAAGGAGTTGATGCGTAATAGGACAATACAAACAAAAATATGCCTTAGAATTCCTTTTGCACCCCAAAATGATGTGTTTTTGAAGGTAAGGTACACTATGTTCTTGAATCAGAATGTGCCTCAGCTGTACAAATGCATATGCAATAAGGGCACTTGCCAAGCCTATTCTACTCAGCTCTGTGCAGGTTAACCCTTTAACCACTCAACCCGAGCTGTACTCGTCATGGAAGGTTGTACCAATATCGCCGATAACGAGTCACACTCGGCTAGCCAGAATGATGGTTTCCTTTCACAACCAAACAGGGGACAGTTCGTCCATCGGCTTTAGTTTCAATTTTCAACACTGGAGGGCAGGAGAAGTCGCGCAAATATAGCGCGTTTTGGCCTTTGGTACGTATACCTAGCCTTGCAACAGTGATCAGAGATGGCAGCGCGCTTGAGTGATGCCGGTGACGGCCCTCGGAAACGGGCCCTCTCTTGCGGCAGTTCGAACAGTAGCGATGATGAAGACATCAAATTTGTCTCTGAAAGTGAGTCGGACATGACGATGACCACAGTGACGAAGAGGACGACGCGCTGGGTAGTGTTCGAGTGTGGCAATGCGTAAACGCTGAAAACACGCCAGCCGCGCCTTCGAGGTTTCCGTTTTGTGCAGTGCCTGGGATTCTGCGGCAACCCACTGACGAAAAAGACATTCCCGGCTGGTTCAAGATTTTTTTTTTTTTTGAGTGGGTGGGGAAGGGTGGGGGGAGGGGAGGAATTTTGCCAGTTTCATTGTGACAGCGACAAACTGCCATGCGGTCCCGCATTTCCCAGCGCGGGGTTCTTGATGGAAACCGGTGGACCGCGAAGAAATGATGGTGTTCCTTGCGTTAATAATTTTGCAAGGAATCATTACTTACGAAGCTTTGTTAGCGCTAGTACGGAGAAACGTCTGGCACTTGATCTTCCTTATGGTGCGTATTTTCAAATAATTACTGCGCATTTCAGCACGTGTTATTCTTACTCTTACATGCACATGGGAAAGCTTCCATAAAAATCAACATTTTTTTTTAAATTTTTGTGTTAATACATATCAGAAACCAATCAAGTAATGTAATTGCAAAATCAGAACCACTTAAGAAAACATATGTGCAAATAAAACAATTTGGGAAAGTTTGTACATTTTGTTCAAAAATAACTTGGCGGTTAAAGGGTTAAGCTAAGTTAGAGTATAGAAGTACACGCTCACTGACACCACGAGAAAGGCAGGGAGAAGTCTCCGTAGTTCCACCTCCAGCCCGTCTGCTACCTTCGATGACGTTTCAGCGCCTAATGAGACTGGAGTGAGCACATCTGTCCAAAGTGGGGTGAAAAGCACAAGCACGTGCTCGAGGATGCCCAGCCCTTCTCTTTTCGTCATCGGCTATACTACATATTTTTAGTAAGACATATTTTTAAGGGAGAAAAAGTATTGCAAATATGCAGTCAACCTTAAAGATAACAACAGTTGCCATTCACCATTTTCCAAATAAGTGCTCCCACCTATCGGAACATCTACACATGTGGTGCGTGAGTGGGTACAGGACTGAGAGGCTAGAAAACGAAGCGCTCACAAGGCCTGTCTGGCCCTTCCAACCATGCGAGTAAATACGTTGCCAATTCCCGATTTCTAGACAAAATGATTTATAATGAGCAAATCTTGTCTACGCCCGAGGTAGAACATTGAATTGTGATTCCCCCATATTGTGCGAACCATCCTTCAAACTGCGGTACCACCTGCAAATAAACTATGTTCTGCTGCGGCACGCGTCCATGCTGCCTGCTTCAGAGGAAAACCACTGCTCGTGTTGAAGACGCCCTCCCGCAATGTAAAGGCAACAATGTTTAATAAAATAAAATTGATAACATTCAATAGACACAGATAGGCTCAAAAAGTGTAGACACCATGATTGTTGTTGTTGGTTTTACTCTTGCATACAAACAAAAGTGACTTCCTCTTTCCTCCGATGTACAGTAAAACCTCCTTATCTTCGTCGCCCCTATTTCTTCTCGAATCGGTCACAGAGGACATAATCGCAGCCACTGAATTCTGCAAAATTAAAGGCTGCGAAAATTAAAGGTTCGCCAACATTAAGGGGTTTACTGTTCTTCCGTGTGTCACATGATGTTAACATTTCAGGGAGGCTGAAGGTATTGGTTTAAGAAAAAATTGACCTATGAAAAAAAATGCCCTTCTCCAGGTTAGGCACTCGAGGTTCTTTTGCACTACTTAAAAGGTGGCAAGTTTGTTTCGGCAGAGCTTTTGGTAAAACGGAGCCACAAAAGTAGCTATACTTGGCGTCAACTATTTTGTGCTGCATTATAAAGCTAGAGTAGATTCCACAGTGCTTCGGCGCAGCACTGTTTGTTGCAAGAGCACATGTGGTTTAGTGATGCATCCCATTTGCATGATCCAGAGAAACTAGTGCTGACAGTGTTAGAGCACTCCAAATAATAACAGCCGACTGTAGAAGCATTGAGAGATGCACACATGCGAACTGTGCATTTCTTAAAAGTGGATTCGAGCAAAGGTAAAAACAATATGTATACTTACGACGGCCATACTTGCCTTTCCGAAGCACGACCACTTTTCCATCGGTAGCACCATCCAGTAAGAAGCATCAGCAACACGCCCATGAGACGCCGCCGACTCCTGGATTGAGTGACGACCCGCCCGAGGTCTTGGAAGGAGATCCGGCACACTGCTTTAGGCCAGATGTTGTATCTGGTGGGGCAAGGACTAAAAGTAAAAATTAACAAATTTATCTGAAGCGCTACATTCCTATAGAATAGCAGTATTTTTCTTTTAGGTCAGTGATGCGTTTTAATTAAACACAAATGGTTGGTTTATATGATGAACCAGTAGCCCCTATTTTGCTTAAGTGTAACGCAGTGTCAAACGTTACGTCCGACGTAACCCGAAAATTAGTTACGCCCAACGTAACTTTCAAGCATTCGAGTTACGTCCGACGTAACCCAAAATAAAAATTAAGGTTACCGTATTTACTCGAAAATAGGTCGAACCCTATTTGTTGGACCCACCGAAAATAAAAAAAAAAAATAATTCAAATATAGATCGACCTTTTTTTTTATTTTTAAGAACAGGGGAAATTTTGGGCAAAAGAAACAAACCTTTATTTACATCACTCTCAGCTAAATCACGGGGCGATGCCAAAAACTTAATCACCGTCAGAACTTCTGGACATGTCATCGTCGTCCGAAGCTTCGTCAGCTTGGTAGACATCCTCGCAAATTCGCAACAATTGAGGAGTTTCAGCGAATATAGGGGGCGCTCCGATCGATCCAACATGGCGGACAAGAGGGGGATAGATTTGCGACGCCCGTAGACCGGTAGCGTATAAATTAAACAAAGCGTGTTGTTCTCTGTTGTCGTGTGCGAGACGATCATCGTTTCAACCAAGACCTACCATGATGCTACAGATGAAGTGTTCAAGCCAATCGAAGGCAAGAAATCTGGCCATGGTCAAGATATGTGTGCAAGTGTTCGACGTGAGCTCTCACGCTGGTGCAGCTGTCATCAAGTTGAACCGAATGTACGCGGGTCCAAAGAAAGGTACATATCAACAATGTTCGCGCGTTGAAACTATGACGCATACTTTTTTTAAGACTAAACTTATCGGTCTGCGGCTACAAACATTTTCGTTGACGTTGCTTAGATGATGTAACCATTCATTCCTCGCATTAAAAGGTGTTGCGAACTCTTGGGTTGTTCTAGTTAATTGTGCTAAAAAGCGGTTGGATGGAAAGTATGACAACTACAGCATACAAGGGACAATTGAGTTTTTTATACTGCGTTCTATGTATCGAAACATCGGTATCCTTGGTGTTATATTGCGACCAGCTGGTCGCCGATCGTCCTGTTTTTACGCATAATGTAAACAAGCCCCGGAAGCGCCAATCTCATTTCGATGTGCTTGTGCACCCCTACAAGCCTCGTTTTGGCTCTTGTGGAAAACTTTATTGTAATAGCAATAGTCTCATCGGTCATTCGAGTTGTATGTGCCGCGGTGATATCTGCTGAAAAACAAGTCTGTATTAAATGCAAGAACGAAGGTAAAGCTTTTTTAACTGTTTTTTTTTTACAGAACAGGGCAGAGCTTCTAAAACAAGAGCAAACTAAGCTGATATTTGAGTGTACTCAAGAATGAATGCCAAAGGTGCTTAAGCTA